CATACAAGGGTGAGCATGACAACTCACAACTATCAACCTAGTGTTTGAGAGGCTGGCAGAGGAGAACTATCATAATTTTAGGACAGCCTGGACTTCACAGTAATTTCCAGGCTAGATTCAGATAACGTCCAAACAAACAGCAGCAAGAAGGAAAAATTAGTTGAGCATAAAGCCTTTAATCCCAGTACTCCGAAAAAGCAGGGAAATCTCTGAGTGCAAGGTTAGCCTGGGCTACAAATTGAGTTTCGGGATAGCTGGGGCTACACAGAGAAACCCTCCCTTAAAAATAAAAAATGAAGACAAAGGTAAAGGGTTGGGAGCTTAGGTCAGTAATAGAACTGCCTCACAACCCGTGAGGGGCTGGGGTGTGGCTCGGGGCCAGGCCTGCCTGACCTGAGAAAGGCCTGTGTTCTATCCTTAGTACCAGAAAGAATGAAATATATGCGCTGCCTTCCTGAGCTGGAGAGGTGTCTCAGTGATCAAGAGCACCAGTTCCCCTTGCAGAAGATCTAAGCTTGGTTCCCAGCACTCACCTGGTGGTTCACAACCATCTGTAACTCCAGTTCCTCGGGATCCAATGCCTTTCTCTGGCCTCCAAGGGCACCAGGCTCATACATGTTGCATATACATACATGTAGGTAAAGCAGTTTCACACATGAAACAAAATAAATAAATTTTAAAACAAATTAAAAAAAAAAAGATGAACTGTCCAGGCGTGGTGTTACATGGCTTTAGTCCCAGCATTTGGGAGTCAGAGGCAGACGGATCTCTGAGTTGGGGGACAGCCTAGTCTACAGAGTGAGTTCCAGGACAGCCAGAGCTACATAGGGAAACCCTGTCTCAAAAAAACAAAACAAAACAAAACAAAACAAAACAAAAACAGACAGACAAACAGACAGACACCAAAGATGCACTGAATAAATGATTGGGCAGAAAAAAGAACTCCTGTCTTTACCACTTATAATGGTGCAACTTTGGACTAGCTGTCTCATCCCCCTGTGCCTCGGTTTACCCATCTCAATTGAGAGTATGAACAGTCTCTATGGATTGCTAGAAGAATAAAACAAGAAGTATATGTGAAGCGGGGACTTAAGGTTTCTTTGGAAAGTCAGTTGTGTTGGATGGTGTTTTGCTGGGGCACATATGTTTTCCTGAAGCAGACACAGGTGAGAGAATGTTTTGTTAAAGCAAACACGTAAAAAAGACTTGTGATGTCAAGGACACAACAGACAGGGACGAGGCTGGATGGTATTGGTACACCTTGCCATTCCTGAATTACCATCGTTTGTCCTGACTTCATAGAAGAAATGCACCAAAAACCTTCTGATGGTGTTCTGGCGGCTTCTTGCTGCTTCCTCGGATTTGGGACGCTTGGCAGAGTGATGGCAGCTGAGACAGATTAACATGAGGGTTTTGCTCAGACAGACTCACGTGGTGAGGCAAGAGCTGTGGGAGGACCCTCGATGTGTGGAGGGAGGACACACGGGACCAACGGTGACGGCAGGCTTGCATAGCCGGCTTTACAATGCTCCAGTGTCTCACGTACTCATCTTCGCTGATCTTCACATTGTCGAGAGAGGCACAGCAGAGAACTTCTCCTGGTATTCCTGCTAGTCCTGGTGGCTCCTGCTGACTCATGCCAACTCGACTGAGGCCTGGCTGTTTCTGCCTGGCTGTGCCACTGCTGCTGATTCGTGTTTGCTATTCAGACGCTACTGAACTGGACTGCTGGTATATATTCTGACAAGCAGATTGGATTTGCTCCAAAAAAACAAGACAAAATAAAAAGTTCTAAACAGGTTAACTTCTCCAGTATCCTAATAACATTTCTTTTCTGCTACCTCTGGTGGGTGGTGGGCTAGAAGGAAGGTTAAAGCATTTAAGAACCCTTATTAAAACTAACTTTTAAAAAAATTAAGCCGATGTGTGTGTGTGTTCACCATTTTTGTATTTTCTGAGGCCAAGTATCAGCCCAAACTAGCCCACAGCGTCTTAAGTAACTGAGGGTAAGCTTGACTTTGTGATTCTCCCACCTGAACCTGTGTTCCCGCCTGAAGGAGTGTTGGACTGAGGTACACCTCACCACACCCAGCAGGGTTACCATCTTGTTGTTGCTCCTTTTGGAGTTTGCTGGGGAAACTGAGGCTCAGGGAGATGGGGTGCCCTGCTTGGAGTTTCACAGGCCTGCTCTGTGGTCACAGAGCCACGCTGACCCTCGGGGTTCCTTACCAACTCCATTCCTGGGCTGGTGCCAAGGCTGAAAAGAGAGACTGGCCCAGGGCCCAGACCTGCTGCTGCTGGGGCCTGGAGTGAGGGAACCTTGCCTGGGAATCTGCAAGACTCAAAGAGCTATTTATAGGCCCACTCTGGGATCTAGAAGGTCCCCACCTCCAGCCTGGAAGTCCCTCTCTGTCACTGGCACCCTGAGGTGACCCTCAGGAGATGAGGCAAGGGAGAGCTGAGGGCCTCAGAGGTCACATAGGTGGCGGGAAGCTCCCAGGCAGCCAGGTCTCAGTGACAGTGTCCCTCTAATTGTACAGGAATATAGCCAAGGTCATATGTGGATAGTCATACACAATGCCACAAACCACCTGAGGAGGATTGAGAGTTTAAGACTATTTTCTTGACTGCATTGTAAATCTGAGGCTGTCCTGGGCAACAGAAAACCCTGTCTCATTAAGCAGACAAACAAACAGTAGAAAAGCCAAGCATAGGGGTGTGTGACTTTAATCCCAACACTTGGAAGGCAGAGACTTGGAAGGTGGATCTCTGTGAGTTTGAGGCCAGCCTGGTCTACATAGTGATCTCCAGGATAGCCAGGGCTACAGAGAAATCTTGTCTTGAAAAAGAAAAAACCAAAGAACACACACACACACACACACACACACACACACACACACACATGAGAAAGACAAACTGTCAAGGGTGCAAGGGCGGGTTAGGGATGGGACAGATAGGTCCAGTCCATATGGCACCCTTCCTGCCTCAGGGCTTGGAGACAGTGGGAAGGAGCCGGCTCCCAGGCTCCCTGACTCAGGGGAATGAATGCACCATGTTGGCTGCTTCACTGGGAACTCAGAGCTACTAATTCCCTGGTGAAACAGGAGGCTCTTTCATGCTCAGGCGCCAGTGGGGTGAGGAGGCGGGAAGAGGGTAGGGAGCTGGCCCTGTCCCAGGGGCCCAGGCAGCCTCATGCCAGGGCCAGGAGCAATACAGGAAGGATGGCGTCTGGGATTCTATGCAGCCTCTTCAGGCACCACGGCCACCTTTTTTGTGTTGAGTGCCACAGAGGTGACACAGCCAGCCTTTGGCAGGGTAGTGATGAGTCCGTGCCTAGAGACAGACTTGTCTATGAGCCCTGTGTCTCAAGTGTTATTGTTCCTGGGCGTCAACCCAAAGGGCCTACTTTTCACAGGCAGGAAGTTGAGCTCAGAGGTCAAAGGTTTGTCTGAGAACACATAGCCAAACTTTTAATAACACATGCCCTTGGAAAACAGCTAAGCTGAATCTGGATGGCCTGGACCCATAGCTGAAGGCCTGGCAAGGAAGTCCTTGCATTTATGGGTTGGCATGGGCAGCTCTCCTGATGTGACCCAGTTACCCTGCTAGTCCTGCTTCCTGGGGTGGGTTTGAGAGACACCAGTAGGATGCTAGGAAACCCTTGTGGCCCTCAGAGAAAGAGGAAGGATCAGAGGCCATTCAACCCACAGGCTGCTCTGTCTTGGGAGTCTTCATTCAGAGAGGCTGAGATTCCACCCTCTCACCAGAGCTGGTGCAGACCAGTGGGAAGTGGCTTCCTAGCTCTCATTCAACTCGGTAGTCTGTCACCGATTCTATGCTTTTGCTAATCCCTAGCCTGGAACTATCTCCCTCCCAGAAAGCCCTTCCTTCAGAAAGGCTTCTTCAATTTGTTCCTTCGGCTCATCCCTGAACCCATGAGGTTTTGTTTGCTCCCACTGGGACCCACTCCTCTTCATCCTATGATACCCAACTCATATGTGCTAGGAAAGCATTTGCTGAGAGACTGATTTATCCTTCATTCAACGCTGCAGATGGGACCCAATGCCTTGCACTTTCTGGGCAACCTTTTATCACTGAGCTCCTTAGCTGAGGAGATGGCTCAGGTGGTCAAAGTAACCGACCCTGACTACCCAAATGCAATCCTCAGGACCCATGTGCTGAAAGGAGAAAACCAATTCCTACACGTAATGATCTGACTTCCACATATAAATAAAAGTAATAAAAAAAATTAGGGTCTGGTGAGTGATTGAGAGCACTTCCTGTTCTCACAGAGAACCTACAGTCAGATCCCAGCAGCCTCATTGGAAATGACACAGGATATCCCATGTCCTCTTCCAGATGGACAAGTACCAGACATGCATGGTATACAAACACTCAAGCAAAACACTCATTACACATTAAAGTGCTTTTAATTTAAAAATATATTTTAATCCCAACACGGGCCATGAAGGTGAATGCCTTTAATCTCAGGGCTCAGGAGGCAGAGACAGGAGGATCTCTGGGAGTCGAGGCAGCCATTACCTGTGCTACAAGTTCCAGGCACTCAAGTCTACACGAGACCCTGTCTCAAAAAATATATTAGGCATATCTGCTAAATTGTTCATGTTAGTATGAAACGTAAGCCCTGCAGGAGAAGCTGGATTTGGGGTTCGAGCAGGACGCACGGGCTGGAAGTGACTGATGTTCCCAGTAGCACGTTTACTCTGCCCTCTTAGGAGAGCAATGGGCTCCCAAGCAGGGCTCCCAAGGTGCATCTACGGCGTGTGAGGCCTTCTGCAGGCAGACATGATCACAGGAAAGCTGTGAGAACACTTTGTAACCACGAGGTGTGTAGTTGGCATTTTCCCTCCAGCTCCACAGAACCAGAAACCACAGGGTGCGGGCGCTTTAAGAGGCGAAGGGGAGGTGCCATAAACCCCGCCCCAGCCCCACGAACCGGACAGGGTCGGTGTTACACTGCGCGTGCGCTACTCGCACGCGGTTCCGGGTTCGCGGACCTGCCGAGGCGCTGCGTCTCTGCTGGTTTAGGAAGCTGCTTTTGTCTCCCTCTGGTTCCCAGATCGCCCGCCTTGTCACATAAGGGGTGACCGAGGGTAGAGGGGCTGGCCGCTGGGTCAAGTTGGGAGTGGCAGCGCCGGGCTTCGAACTCGCGCTCTGCGCTGGGCGAGGCTTCGTAGAACCGAGATGACCCAGTCTTTGGTTTGTCCCGAGACCGTGAGCAGGTGAGAATCAGGGAGTGTAGATCTGGGCCCGGGGGCGGAGGAACTGGGAACTGAGCTGTGGGGCTCAGGTTCAGGAGCCTGGAGCAGGCTGCGGGCGGCGCCAGGTGGTAGAGTCCCCAGGTTTAGGGTGCAGACAGGTGGTCGTGTTTCCTGGCTGGGGGCACGGTCTGATGATCCTGTCCCCTGGCTTGGGTGTTAACCTGGTGCTCCTGTGCCCTGGCTGGGAGACCTGGTGTTTGTGTTCCTGGCTAGGGGTGCGGTCTGGTGGTCAAGTTCCTGGCTGTTGGTGGCAGAGTACTTGGGGTGGGGCTGGCCGGCCTGGTGGGTGGCTCACAGCAAGGATGCTCCTGTGAAAGTCGGTAGTGTTGAGGTCCCTAACCTGCTCCTGTCCTGCAGGGTCAGTTCTGTGCTTAATCGCAACAGCCGGCAGTTTGGAAAGAAACATCTTTTTGACCAGGATGAAGAGACGTGCTGGAACTCTGACCAGGTGGGGTGCTTCCACACCCTCCGTTCCGAGAGGGAAGCAGATGCAGGGTTGCAGGGTGCCTTGAGAACTTTGGGGAGACCTAGAAACCACAGCGTGCTCTTACTCTTCCTGTGCTGGCCGAGGCACCGACACTTGAAGGCTGAGCAGACCACCATAGGATAACCTTGTAGTTACCAAGTGCCTCAGTTTATCCATCTGCTTCCAGGGCCCCTCCCAGTGGGTGTCACTCGAGTTTCCCCAGTGTGTTCAGATCACACAGCTGCAGGTGCAGTTCCAGGGTGGCTTCTCCAGTCGCCACAGCCGCCTGGAAGGTACTGGAAGGCTGTGAGAGGTGGGGTGTCAACAAGGTTCCCTGGATTCTTAGCTCCTGTTTCTCCACTGCAGGTTCAAGGGGTGGTGAGGCCCTCAGCAAGATTGTAGATTTCTACCCTGAGGACACCAATGCCCTTCAGATATCCTGTCTGTCCTGTGGTGGGAGGGACCTGGTTTTCCACAAGCTTCGGATCTTTGGGTGTGGTGGTACAGGCACTGGGGAGGCTGGGACAGAAGGATCTAGAATGCCAATCCAGGCTGGACATGTGACCAGACCAGGTCTCAAAAGAGTAACAGCTGTGGCCTCCTACACTTGAGTAGGAACTATTGCTAGGTGCTTTAGTGCCTTAGAGGTGGAAGCAGAAAGACCAGGAGTTCAAGGCCATCCTAAACTACACAGTTTTCGGCAAGCCTGGGATACCTGAGAGAGAGAGAGAGAGAGAGGGAGAGAGAGGGAGGGAGGGAGGAAGAAAGGAAGGAAGGAAAGAAGGAAGGTAGGTAGGTAGGTGTTGTTGCTTTCTTGCTGGGTATGAGAGGCTTCAAGAGCCAGCAGTCATGGGTCCATTGGGTAGTCTCTGGACTGGGAAGGTGGGGCCTGAGGGGTCAGAGAGAAAGCCACTATTTTCTTGACTGAAAGAGGTCACACCTTCTCCGTCCCCGCCATGGAGGTGGACCGGCTGAAGCTGACTTTTGAGGACACCACCGACTTTTTTGGCCGTGTGGTTATCTACCACCTTCGCGTGCTGGGTGAGAAGGTGGGGTGAGACGTGCTGGCTGTGTCCTCCAGGAAGCCCGCCTGGGAGGCACCCAGAAGCCCTTCAAGTTCTGCACAGATTTATTGGTTCCCGTTGCAGAGGGCCCTTCCCACCACTGTCCAGGAGCTGCCTTTCAAGCCAGTTGTGGGCTGACTGGTTTGTCCCTGAGAGCCTGGGTTCCCAGCAGGCTGTCTTCACTCGGGGTCCGCAGGCCCCAGGGTACTCTGGAACAGTCTGAGGATGTGGCTCTCCATCGCCTGCTGCACTGTGGGAGGAGGTGGGAGGAGGTGTGAGCCAGTGTGAGCCAGTGTGAGCCAGCAGTGAGCTGGGGAGAGGGGACTGAAGACTCTCAGCCTCAGATGTCAAAAGGAGGCCATGAATAAGGAACCCAGTTGCTTTAAGGCAAGGTTTGCCTGTCTTCCCTCCACTCGCTGCGGCCCACCCTGCCTCCAGAACCATGAGTCCAAATAAAACTTTAAAAGAAAAATAATCACCTATCTGTGGTACTCTTTTATAGCAACAGAGACAGAAGTCTGGAATGCTCACCCCACCAGGAGGAAAGAAAGCTGTGTGGATGTGGGGGTGATGACTAAGACCCACACCCACTCTGGCGCTGGGGCTGGGGCCTGGGTATCACTTGAGTGTCTGGGTCCCCCCTTCTAGAGTGTCTCTGAGAGTCAGTGTCCCCCCCTCCAGAGTGTCTCTGAGTATCTGTGTTTCCCCCCTTCCAGAGTGTCTCTGAGTGTCTGTGCCCCCTCCCAGGATAGCTTCCACTCTCAACATACACTGGTGTCCCCGCTGCAGCCCAAGAGCCAGGATATAGAGGTGCCTGAGCCTGCCTGGGTGCTAAGGACCATGTTTACTACCAGCATCTGGCACCGATGGGGAACACCCTGTGTGCCCCTCTGCACCACCCCATCCACAGCCTCTCAGCCCACTATAGTATCCCAAGCCCACCTTTGCGATATCCCAGGGCTACTGCGAGGTCCATTGGGGTGTAGCCAGAGTCGGCCTCTGTGGTAAGATCAGCACCCCGAGCTGTAAAGAGAAACAGGCACTCGGGGTCAGGAGCCCATGGCAGGGCCTAGGGACTGAAGGCTGGAGTGACTCTGCTCCCCACCCCCCCATCCCAGTACAACTACAGGTCTGCCCTTTGTCCATGTGACACAGGATGGTGGCCAGACTTCAGTACCCTCCTACCCAAAGACCAGGGTTTAGAGTCTCTGAGGCATGGAGGTTAGGAGGTTCATCATGGCTGACAGGATCCAACAAAACCTCCCTCACACTACCCCGCCTCTTCTGGTCTACACTCGGAGCCCGTGATTCCTGCAGGGCCCATGGGCCCCCACTCACCCAGTAAGGCCTCCACACACTTCACATGGTTCCCACGGACAGCATAGAGCAGTGGTGTCCCCCCATTCTGTGGGATAAGATCATGTGAAAACCAAGGTAAGTCTCAGTGCCCTGTCCTTGCCCTCTGGCTACCAATTCAACCTGTTTCTTGCCTACCACTTGGGCTGTCTTTCTTCTGTGTCTCTTAGATGGCCATTCTTCCAGGAAGTCCTCCCTGACTTTCCTTGGCTGCCTGTGAGCCAGCCATTAAAGCCCCCTCTTTCTCTTTATGTGTGTCTTGTTTCCCCTGCACTGGGAACTCTTATCAGGTGTGAGGGCAGTTGTCTTGTGTTCCCAGAACCAGGGCAGGCTTTGCACCATGCAGGGACCCCATCCATGTTGAGCAGGAATGGAAGCCAGGAGGCTCCGTCAGACCAAGGGTGGCAGTGCCTCACCCAGTCATAGATGTTGATGTCCACGTCACGGTCAAGCAGCAGCCTCACGATGTCTGTGTAACCACCCACACTGGCAAGCGACAGGGCGCTCTCCCGCTCCTTGGCCAGGACGTGGGGGTCAGCACCCTGGGAGACAGAAAGGATAGTGATGGGACCCTGAAACCCTAGGATCCCCAAGTAGGGCAGCACATCTTCAAGACAACAGCTTCAGAAGCTGAGACCCCAGCCTGTCCATGCGTCCCCAGGATGGACCTACCCAGTCTAGCAGGAAGCGAACTGTCTCAATTTCTCCAAAGGCTGAGGCCCAGATGAGGGGGGTGAAGCCACGCTCATCCGGTTTGTTGACTAGGTTGTCACCTGACAAATGGGAGGCGTATGGGACAGGGATGGTGAGATGGCCAGCTCTCAGGAGTGGGGTAGGCAGGGTTCAGGGGTCACATGAAGGGGAACATTACACAAATCATATGCGCACGCAAGCAACTCGGCCACGCACCCTTCCGCAGATGGTCCTTCAGCTGGCTCAGCTCCCCTTGGGCTGCAAGCTGGTGGATAGATAGGGCTGGGGGCAGAAACAGGCAGTATTCACCTACTCCATCCCTCTCCAGGCCTCAGTTTACCCTGCTCATCCTCTTTTTGTTTTGAGATAGGGTCTCATGTAGCCTAGGCTGGCCTGCAGCTTGCTACAAGTTTGCATGTGTAGCCAAGGATGACCTGGAACTGCTGACCCTCATGAGCTGGGAGGACAGGTATGTGGTACTGTTCTCAGTTTATGAGGAGACTGAGTTAGAACTCAGGACTTTGTGCATGCCAGCTGAGCAATCTACCAACTGAGCTACAAGCACTGTGACAACTGAGCTACAAGTACTCTAGCCACTGAACCATAAGCACTCTACCCACTGAGCCACAAGCACTCTACCCACTGAGCCACATTCCCCAATCCTTTGTGGTCTTTCATTCTTTTTTTTTTTTGTAATAGGCTTTTTTTGTAATGTAATCTAGGCTGACCTCCAATTCGGTAAGTAGCTAGGGGTGACCTTGAACTTCTGACCTCCTGCCCCAAGTGCGGGGGCCATGGAACACCATGGAGCTTATAAGGAACCCTCTAGCCCCACCCCCACTTGAGGTCTACTTACAGTCCAGTGTGGCTGGCAGCGCTGAGACCTCATTCCCACGTTGCCGGTTTGTGAGGGTTGTGGAGTGCTTCAAGAAACTTCCTGCAGGGAGAGGAAGGGCTTGTTCCCTGGTGTCTGGGCAGATACTGCAGGTTCCAAGCTTAAGAAGACCACCCCTCTATCTCCACGTGCACACCCATATTCACACACAGACATTAACAGTAAATTAAATACTCTTCTTAAATGAAGGGAAACATGCGGCCTGGCGGCCCAGGCTACATTCCCAGCCCGGGCTACACAGTGAATTCCAGGTCAGTTGAGACAACAGAATGGAACCCTTTGGCAAAGGAACAGGAGGAAGAGGTGGGGGCAGAAGGGCTGTGGATACAGCACAGTGATTCAGCACTTGCCTGATACATGTGAGACACTGGTTGAACTTCCAGCACAAAGCAAAACAAGAAACCAAGAGAAGGGAGCTGGTCAAGAGTGCTTGCTGCTCTTCTAAAGGACCTACATTTGGTTCCTAGCACCTGTGTTGGGTGGCTCACAACTGCCTGTAACTCACTCCAGCCTTAGGGTACCTGATGCCTCTGGCCTCTGCGGACACCTGCAGTACTCACATACAGATGCTGGAGGTGTGCCTCAGAGGTTGAGGGCACTGGCTGTTCTTCCCGAAGACCTGGATTTGGATCATGGTGGCCACAAGTTACCTCACAATCTATGGTAACACCAGTTCCAGTGATCTGATACCCTCTTCTGGCCTTTGTGGGTACTGGGCATGCAAGTACTACTTGCACGCAGGCAAAACAATACAGACACACTTTTTTTTTAAATAAATCTTTTTAAAGAATATAAGTAAATAAATATGAGTCTGGGTAGTGGTGGTGCACACCTTTAATACCGGCACTCAGAAGGCAGAGGCAGCCTCGTCTACAGAGCAAGTTTCAGGAGAAAAGTAAAAACGCCAGACAACAAATAGGGTTGGAGAAACAAGAGGACTCACAAATTTAAGACTAGCCTGGGCTACACAGTGAGACTCTGCCGCAAAAGAAAGAAGGAAAGAGAGAAGGCGGCAGAGGGTACTAGAAAGCTTGGATGGTTATCTCTGGGGACTGGAGCTCCATATGCACAAGCCAGAGAGGTGCCAAGTTCACTTGGTTGCACTGCAGTCATGTCCAAATAGTAAATGTTGTGTGTATTTGCCACAGTAAACAAATGGTAAAGGGCCAGGTGTGGTGGCACATGCCTTTGATCCCAGCACTCAGGGAGGCAGAGGCAGAGAGGCAGAGGCAGGTGGATCTCTGAGTTTGCGGCCAGCTTGGTCTACATAGCAAGTTTCAGGACAGCCAGGGCTCCAAATAGACCTTATCTAAAAGAAGTATATGTATGTGTATGTGTGTAGTGGTTACATCTGCCTAATCTAGGCATACAGCTTATAGATACTGTAACTGAATTGTGTGTTTTCGCATGGGCTTATTGGAGTTGGAGATTTACTACAACAAATTGGTGCCCACAACATATGTGTGTGTGTGTATGCACACATATACAAAGTATACACAAGGAAAGGTGTTTTTGAGACACTAACTATATAATTCTGACTGGCCTAGAACTCACAGAGCTCTGCCATGGCTTCTTACCGGTGTAACCTCAGCATTGGAGGGCAAAGACAGGCAGAGTCCCAGAGCCCGCTGACTAGTCTGTCTACGTGAACAGCTTCAGGTCCAGCTCATGACCATGCCTCGAACAGAAGGTAGAGGCAGAGACAGCCCAGTTGGTAAAAGCGCCTGATGTAGTCCTCCCTGGGACCCACAAGGTGGAAAAGAGAACTAATCCTGAAAGTTGTCTTCTGCCCTCTACATGTGTGCCATGGCATGTTCATACACACGCATATACACATATTAAATGCAATGTAATGTAAAAAATTAGGGGTTGCTGAGATGACTCTCGGAGGTTAAGAAAGGCCCAGATTGGATCTGTGGACATCTACAGCCCATGGCCAGGGGTTCAGACGCCCTCTTCTGGCTTGCTCAGGCACTGCATGCACATAGAGCACATGCAGGCCGGCAAGTGTCTAGATTTACTTAGTTTGTACCATATATGTTTTGCTTGCATGTGTGTTTGTATACCACTTGTATGTCTGGTGTCCTCGGAGGCCAGAGGAAGTCACTGGATCTCTAGGGATTGAGGATTGAAACTAGAGTTAGGATGGTTATAAGCCACTCTGTGGGTGTTAGGAAATGAACCCATGTCCTCTGAAAGAACAAGATCTCTATAAACAATTCAGTTGTCCCTCTGTCCTACCCCACCACCTTTTTAAATACAGGGTCTCTCTATGAGGCCTTGGTGGTCCTGGAACTCCCTATATAAATCAGGCTGGCCTTGAATTCCTAGGGAGCTACCTGCTTTTGTCTCTAGAGTTTTGGGATTAAAGGTGTGTGCCAACAATACCTGGCAAATCTTTAAAGAATATATATTTTATATATATTTATAAATACATGTACCATATTACACACACACACACACGACAGAGAAGCCATTAAAGAATAGAACATGTCAATGTCTGGTCTCCATGCATGTGCACACATATGTACATGCAGTGATGTGAACACATGCACACACCCTCAGGAACATACACATATATCACCTTAACACACACACAATAAATATAACCTAGGAGGGAGGAGGGAAAAGCGATGAGGGCAGAGACGTGGTCTGGAACTTGACAGGCTCTCTCAGCAGAGCCCAGAATGGTTCTCACCCGGTAGTGAGGATGCACTGGCGTCTGCTTCAGGATTCACAGTGTCTGGGGTGCAGGGAAACAGACTGAGGACCACGGTGTCTGAGCTATCTGGGGATTCATCTCTGGGGTCTTCTAGGTCAGGAGCAGGGGACTGCTGGTTTGGCATGACCTTCTCTGCAACCTGAGTGGGCTCCATGGAGGAAGCTAAGGAAGAGATGACAGTAATCAGCCAAAGCTCATGGGTCCCCAAGATGGCTCAGTTGGTAAAGGGCCTTGTCACCAAGCCAGATGACCCCAGTTTGATTCCAGGAATGCGCACGGTGGAGGGAAAGAACTGACTCTAGTAAGCTGTTCTCTGACCTCCACACCAAGTCCATAGCACATCCTACCCCAAAAATAAATGAGTTCTTATCAGGGACTGGAGCTTGGTTAGGTGGGGCATGGTGCACACCTTTAGTCCCAGTACTTGGGAGCCAGAGGCAGGCAGATCCCTTTGAGTTCAAGGCTAGCCTAGTCTAAATAGTGAAATCCTGGACAGCCATGGCTATGTTAGAGAGACCCTATGTCACGCACGCACGCACGCACGCAGAGCATGGTCTGCATATTCAGCCTTGCATGATGAGGCTGGGAAAACTGGCTTTAGATAATTACCATTGCTAATAAATTAACACCAGGACCCAAGGCGATAAAATCAAGGTTCTGGCAGCAGTCTGGGTTCCAATCACTTACAAGCTATGAAAACCTGGTCTGTGACTAAGCTGAGCCTCATTTCCTCCTTAATACGGTGAAGATGTGAGGCCTCAGAGAGGTCATATCAGAAAACAGCATGGAGAGATATTAATGCCAAACTTATCAATGTACTGCTGTGGTTATTTGGGTCGGAGTCCCCCAAAATGACTTAGGACTCAACAAAAGATGCGACGTGGAAGATCCACTCACCTCCCTCCAGCCTCCTCTGTCCCCCTACGCTGCCAGCCTGGGTGTCCCAAAACTCGGGAAGCTCTGTTCACAAACTTTTCTGGTCCAGTAGATCTCGTGAGGAGCAAGTTGGCGACCAGACGCTCAGTCCTCTAGCTTCCTCTGCTGGGACACAGAGCAGCAACTTAATACACGACGACTACTCCTAGTGGAGAACTCCTCCACTGCGCCTGCGCACCCTTGCCCTGCAAAAGTACCAAAAAATAAAAAATAAAAACCCGAAGCTGCTTCTAGCCCTTTAAGACTGGAGGGAGGAGCGTGGCTTCCTGAGCGCAATAAGTACAGCGGCGCATGCGCGCGCTGTCCTTCGTGAAGGGCTGAAGGAGCCTTAGACCCGCTGAGGATTTCAATGCGCGTGTGCTCCCCCGTCCCACGCACCGCCCCCACCTGTCTTCCCCAATCGGATCCACGTATGATGGGAGGGCGGGGCATTCTCCCGACGGGGGCGGCGGCACATGGGCGGGACTTGTCTAATTTAAAGAGACCGAATGTTAATGCCACCTCGTCCTTAAACAATTTTTCTGCCCTGGTCCCTGAGAATTATCTGCACTTGTGTCAGGGAGTCCTTGACTAAGTATCCTAGAGCATCAAGAAATCTCTATCCTTCCGGATAGAGATTTATTTAATCTACACACTCGCCTAGGACTGCCTCCTTCCCCTCGATCTCGTGTCTGAACAGAAGTTTGCTCATGAGAGGAGCCAGCGCGCAGGACGCCAGAACCCAACCCGGAACGTTTAGTTAGACGTCCTAGCCTCCCGACTTCCGGTTCCGGTTTCTGGGCTCTGTGGGCTGCCTTCGCTATGGAAGAACCTGAGATGCAGCTGAAGGGAAAGAAAGGTGTTGCGGGACCCCAGAGGGGTTGGAGGGGCCTAGAGAGGGCAGCGCGGGAAGGTACATGACAAAGAGAGTCGCCTTAGACCTCCTAGCCTGCGGGGCTCGGCGGAAAAGAGAGCCTGGTGTCTCCCGCCGGGAGGTGATGTGATGGAATAGAGATCCGGGGCAGGAAAAGGCTCTCTCTCCTTTCTGAGTTAAGGTCCCGGGATGTAACCCCGGCTGTATTGGAACTTGCTGTGTAGACCGAGATGGTCTCAAACTCCTCTGCCTTCTGAGAGTTGGAATTAAAAGCAGAATCCATCTATGTTTTTTAGCCTGTGAACACGTAAACGAGTATGCGGGCTTGGTGGCGCAAAACTCTAATCCTCTCTTCTCTAGAGGCAAGAAGTTGAAGGCCAGTTTGGTTTACACATTGAAACTCGGTCTTGAAAGAAGAGCTGGGGCTTTAGCTCAGTAGTACACACTTTGACCAGCGCGTTCAAAGCTCTGGGTTTGTTCCCCGACACTGCAAAATAATTGAAGACCAGATAAGTAGGTTATTTTCTCTGGCTGATGGGAGCCCTGGGTGGTAAGAGGAGTTGGTGCCATCTGCCACCTGGAGCTGGTCAGAGCTGGTCAGAGCTTGTCTAGTATAGGAAGGAGTGGGGCGGGAGGGACTGCAGTTGGAAGCAACAGAATCCATGATGGATGGGGCAAGAAGGATGGAGATGTCCTGACTGGGAAAACCCTTGGTCAAAGTCTACCCTGGAGTGATGGGTTTTGTGCAGTTGACGTGTGGTAGGAATGTATGTTCTGGAGAAAAGGAAACAGGTAGGCTTAACAGGAACTTGGATGCTGCAGAGGGCAGCCTCAGCAAACATGCTTTTATGACAGGGCTTGTGGATGAGATATGCCTCAGAAGTGTTCCAACACAACAAGAGATGTGGCCTTCCATATCATTACTGCCTCAGAGTAGAGGCCTCACAAGGTTGTGGACTGTAGATACCTTTGGGTTCTGTGGTTATCCTCTGGTCAGATGGATATGGTGGTACATGCTTCTCTTCCCATCACTTGGGAGGCAGAGGCAGGAGGATTGCTGTGATTTAAGGACAGCTTAGCCAACACAGTGAGTTACAGGGAATCCAGAGCTACTAGATTCTAGTATGATGTTCCATACTGGTCTCCAGTATGCTTCAGTTATAAAGGAGGTGGGGGTGTCAATGGCTTCAGTACTGTCCACCAGTGTCCTCTGAAAGTGGGTTTGGGGAGGGAAGGTTGTGAGTCTGTGTGTGTGCTAATGCCCCCTTGAGTCAGGCTTTACTGTCTCTAGCTGTCCCTGCGCCCGCAGATGACAGTTACAGTGGTGCACCCTGGCAGCTCCTCTCTCTGGTTGGGCTCCAAGATGGACCAATCAGGAGTCTAATGTAGGCAGGCCTCAGCTGGCATAGTGTTTGCCTGGCATGCATGAAACTCTGGGTTACATGCCCAGCACTGAATAAACTAGGTGTGGTGTCACACATTTGCAATTGCAGCACTTAGGAAGTGGAGGCAGGAGGATTGGGAGTTCAAAGTCATCCTTGCTTACAGAAAACTAAAGTCTAGCCTGGGCTAGACCCTTTTTTAAAAAAGAGTGGTTCCTCCCACTCACATTGAACAGCTGAACCCACCTTAACTCGAGCTCTCCGGCCTCCAGCTGACACTCACTCATGTGTGTATACACATACATATGCACACATGTAATTCAGAGTAAATACATGGGCCTAATACTTATCACTTATTCCCACCTCCGCCATGTCAAACACAGTCACAGACAAGTTCACTGAGACTGTCTATGTCCTTGCCAACGAGCCATCAGTGGCCCTGTACCGGCTACAGGAACACGTGCGCCGTTCCCTGCCAGAGCTGGCCCAGCACAAGGTGAGTTCTGCCAGCCCTGCCCAGGTCCACACACAGCTCCTGAGCAGGAGTGGGGTACTATCCACAGAGGGGTTGAAGTCAAAGCTGAGACCTGCTGAGATGGACTGTAGCAGCTGAATCAGGTGGACGATGTGGGGACAGCCCTTGATGGCTTTTGAAGGAGACAGTATGGTCTGTGTTAGTGACCAGCAAGGTTCAGGAAGGCCCCAGGGAAGGGTGTGCGAGGCAGAAGGAATAGCCAGTGCAAAGGCCTTGCTGTCTTCGAGTCACACAGAGCCCCAGAGGAGAGAGGGCTGCAGGAGGAAAAGGCTCTGTGGTCTAAGCAAGGAGTACGAAGGCTCCTACCAAGATATCTAGGGGGATGGGGAACTCAGGAAGGCTTGGTGGGAGCGAGGGGCTCAGGTTGGGGGGAGACGGGGGAATCGATCATACAGCACTGGCTTCCAGAGCCTTCTCTCCTAACACCACCCAACCCCTTGCAGGCCGATATGCAGAGATGGGAGGAACAGAGCCAGGGCGCCATATACACCGTGGAGTATGCCTGCAGGTGAGCCTCACATCAGCCACAGGGCAGAATGAGACGGATTCCCATCCCCAACCTCCATTGCAGTGCAGCCGTCACACCTCTAATGGGTCCCTCACAGTTGTTCTTGGGGAGTTTGGGGACGTGATTGCTTGCCTCTGGCTCGGGGTAGGTGGTGGATGGCTGACTAGGTAAAGTACTTCTGCACAAACTCTATCCGAAGAACCCATGTTGACAGTTGGTGTGCACCTGTAATCCTAGCTCTGGGAGATGGAGTCAGCAGAAAGCCTGGACTCGCTCCTCTAGAGAGCTAGTCCTGTCGGTGAGTTCCTAGTTCAGTGAGAGACTCTTACCTCAAACTAGGGCCTAGGGCTCAGTTGATAGAATGCTTGTGTGAAAAGTGTGAAGATGCCAGCCTCGGCCTCTGGCCTCCACACACACGTTCTCACAGGTATGCACACACATGCAACCACCCGCCCACATACACATTCACTCACATAAGCACACAGACACAGAAAACCAGTTCACTCCCAGCTGAGCACAGAGCCTCAGGCCGGACCACAGTTAGGCAGAGTCCGGTTGCCTGCTGCCTAGTGCTGTGCCCTCTGAGCCCAGGCAGCAGGTGCTGAGTGCCTGTCCTGCTATGTCTGCATCGAGTCTTGTATAGCCAGGCTGGCCTTGAGGACCTAGGCCTAAGCAGTTCTGCTGGATCCTCCCAAGGAACTGAGACCATTCTGCACATGACTTACTCACTTGTGGGTTTTATCCAACAGTTAGTGTGTGTGTGAGGGTGTGGGGTGTGCACTTGTGCTGTGGTAGCTGTGTGGAAGTGAGGACAACTCACAGGATCTGTTCTCTCCTTTCACTTTGTGCATCCCAGGCATTGAGCTCAGGTCGTCAGCCTTGGTGGCGAGGGCTTTTACTGTAACCGTGACCATATCTCTCCCCGCTCCTGTTTGGTTCTATGAGTATGGTCTCAAATCTGTGCTGTGCGCACTGGCTGTATCCAGAAGCCTGAGCTTGTGGAATATACAGGACTCTATCTTCCTCTCTGCATGGTTTTGTTTTGTTTTGCTTTGTTCTGTTTTGTTTGAAACAGGGTCTCTCTGTGTAGCCCTGACTGTCCTATGTAGACCAGGCTGGCCTCAAACTCACAGAGATCCTCCTGTCTCTGTCTCCCAAGTGCTAGAATTAAAGGAGTGTGCCACCACACCTGGCTCTTCTGTGTACTCTTAGGCCCAAGCAGCAGGCCAGCTCTCCTTGTGAGCTGCCAGCACTGTGTCCAGTCCTACTGTCTGGTCGGGTACACTGGCTCACTTTGGGTCTCCCTGCTTCTTGAAGCACTTAGGCCTCACTCACAGCGTAGACTCAGATAGCCAGTTGCTTTTGGTGTATGCACACAGTTGATTGCCTGTGCCTCTCACAGGCTTTTAACGGGGATTGGATGCCCTCATTTGTGCAGTTCTTTGGGTTTTCTGGAGATAAGAGTAATAAGCCCCTTAACACAGGTCACCTCTGCCTCTTACAGGAAGGGTTGCTGGCCAGTGAGATGGCCAGTGGGGGACCTGCATCATGCCTGATAACTGTTTATTTCCCAGAGCCCACATTGTGGAAGAAGAGAACTGACTCCTTCAGGGTGATCTCTGACCTCCATGGGCACCTCTGGAGATGCATCATCTCCATAAATAACTGTTTTAAGAGATTTGTATAATTTTGAGATAGGGTCTCACTGTACAGCCCAGGCTGGCTTCAAACTGGGAACCCTCCAGCCTCAGCCTCCCAGTCGTGGGAAGGCATGCAAGAACAAGCTTGCCTGGTCTGTACAGCAGACCATAAAAGCAGTGTTCCCCAGTAGCCATGTTGTAAATAGCAGGATAAGAAGAGTTTCATCCCTGAGAAGCTGCACCCAAGGCAGTCACAGCCTGCACAGGATGAAGTGTCTCAGGCAGTCACAGCCTGCACAGGATGAAGTGTCTCAGGCAGTCACAGCCTGCACAGGATGAAGTGTCTCAAGGCAGTCACAGCCTGCACAGGATGAAGTGTCTTAAGGCAGTCACAGCCTGCACAGGATGAAGTGTCTCGGGCAGACAGAAGGGGTGTTTCTTTACAGACATGAAACCTCTTTTTAGTTAATAGTCACACAGTGTTAGAAGGTTGAGCCCCTTACTGAGGGAGCCTAGGCTGCTGCTGTTGCCAGGATGGGAACTGACCCTCACCCCCTTCTGTTCCAGTGCTGTGAAGAGCTTGGTGGACAGCAGCGTGTACTTCCGTAGTGTGGAAGGCCTGCTCAAACAGGCCATCAGTATCCGGGACCACATGAACACCAGCGCCCAGGGCCACAGGTAGCCCTGGCCACCTGCCCTCACCCCACCCTAACCAGTGAGCTATCCTGGTGGTCTTGGACATCTGTGGCACCCGTATCCTGTAACCCAGTTGATGTGAGGGATGCAATGGTACCAGGATCACAGGGACAGTGACCGAGAGACACAGTTCAGAGGAAGTGTGGGTGACAAGGAGCAGCCTCCAGGCATCCCCAGGATCGTGAGCAGAGCAAGGGTCCTCTCTGAGACTGGCACTCTGGGCCCATAGAAGGAGCAAGAGGAGTGATTTAGTCGGGAGGCTGAGGTTGACTGGAGCTGCCTTCACCCTGCACCCCCATGGTTTCTCAGGCTGAGAGGCTTTCAGCAGAAGCTCAGTGCAGTGGAAAGCACCTTTCGTGTTGGCTGTAACTCAATAAACATAGCTGGCCTGCACCAGACTCAGCCAGCCTTTGACCTGTCTGCCGCTGGGAAGAGAAGGTGCTGCAGACCCCTCACCCTGCTGAGTCTGTATCACACCCAGTCCGCCCAGACACCTGCCTGGCCTCTGAAGTGAGCATTGATCCCACCCTTACAGCAGACCCAAGAGCTCAGGCCATGAGTCTTATGGGGGCTGAGGTGTGACTCCAGCCTCTAGCCAACTCCTGAGCAGCCTCCTGGCCTGTGGCATCAGTCTCATACATTTGCATATTTTGTTCCAGCCAGGAGACGCCATCCCCTCCTCCTTCCCTGGCCTGACCCTGACCCTGAAGACTCAGGGCCACCGGCTTCCCCACCCAGGTCAGTGCAGAGGCCACCACTCTGCTGAACTAACCCATTTCTTTGTGTCCCTGCAGGGACCTGCTGACTAACTGTTGGGTTTCCTAGCTGGTCGTCTGGGATGGTTTTTGGGGGAATTGGCTTAGAGGGTCCCACTCTGAATTGCTGCTGTTGAGTCCTCTGTTGCCTCATCTTCTTCCCTTTGGCTGAGGCCTAGCCTTTCAGCTGTTGTGTGACCTTTAGGCTACATCCACTTCTCTGGTCTTCGGCCTTTTCCTCACGGCTCACGGCTCATCCACATGCTGAGCCTACTTGCTCAATGACGGGTGTACTTAGTGACAGCTGTTATCTATGTGAGAGAAACATTCAAAATCCTGCCACTTTACAGTACTATAAACTGGCCAGGCTGGTGCTTCTGGCTGCATACAGCTGGGTGTGTCCTCTGGCTTTGCCTGTTGCTGTGCGTGGGGGCCTGGGTGAGGGCAAGGTCTCCACACCACTCAAGCAGAGGTGCTCATCCATGGGTCCCACTGGTGCAGAGCATCCTCTGGCAGAGACCCAGGGGCTGGGTGGAGACTGGCTTACTGCCCCAGAGCCCAGATAGCAGGATGTACTTCCTGGACAGTATAGAGAGGGTTGATTGGGTGACTGGGTCATCGGGCATTGATTACGTGCCATGCTTATACAGTAAGCATTCCTCAGGCTCCTTGGGTCCCAGGCCCTTCCTGGGCACTTCAGTGGGTGTTTACTGAGGGTGGCAGCTTGCTGGCTTTCGGAGCACTCATTGACTGTCACCCCAACACGAGGTGAGCAGTTCTTCACTCGGGAGTCCCATGGGGCGTCTGGGAAGACTCTAAGCTAGAAGGGCTCCCAGGTGTGTGCACTGTGAGACTGTCAGCCTTGGGTGCACTCCGCACCCCTAGCCCAGCCCATGCCTGGACATGCTCAAGGGCAACCTTCTCTGAGTCTGTTTCCTGCACTGTACACCCAATGGTATCCTGGGCTCCCCCCATCCCAGACTTCTTTACCTCCCTGGGATTGTCCTCCAAAACTGCTCTTCTCAAGGTCAGATCCTCTTTGACTATGTGGTCCCAAGACCTCCAACACAGTCACATTTTATGTAAGCAGAAGCTGGCTTGGTGGTAAGCCAGCCAGCCCAGGTACTGCTCCTGCCTGCAGGCACTGGAGTCTCATTCTGGCCTTCTGCCCCTAGCTCCCCTGTCTCCCAGTCCTGGCAGAAGATGTTCCTTGGACACCACATTGAGGACTTGACAAGAACTGAAGACCTAGGAAGTGCCTGCTGTCTACTGGTTCAGACCTAGGAAGTGC